GTAGAAAAGACGGACAAAGAGAATAAGCTGGGTCTAGGTGGATCTCCTGTGCCTGGCTGAGGCCACAGAGAGAACCAGAGGGCAAGCTGAGCCTTTATTTTATAGCCAGAAGTAAACAAGGTAGTGGTCACCATAGTTACAGTGACGTGTTGTGAGTTTCCCACAGCTCATTAGCTATCCAGATAAGATCGATAAGGTCCAGCCTAATTATGCTAAGAGGGCTGTGCCCTCTAAGCTGGGAATTGTTTGTGACTTTGCCATCAGGTCAATCCGACACTTAACCCTATAGCCGGGCCTACTATTTTTGTTGATTAGTTTATTTTGTTCATCCACAAATGGGTGAGACCATGTGATATTTCTCTTTCTCTGATTGGCTTATTTCACTTAGCACAATGCTTTCTACTTCCATCTATGTTGTTGCAAATGGTAAGAATTTCTTCATTTATACAGCAGCATGGTATTCCATTGCATAGATGTACCACAGTTTCCTAATCCACTCATCCGCTGATGTGAACTTCCAACCGCAAGTTCAGGGAGCCCCAAACAACCTCCAACTTCAATAATTTGGTGGAAAGACTCGCTGATCGTTACACCCCTGTTACAGTTATCAGAGAGAGGATGCAGGTTAAAGTCAGCCTCGGGAAGAGGTCCGTGGGGCAGAAGCCAGGAGAGCTCCCGTGGTGCCAGTGGGATCGGGGACAGCACTAACTTCTCCCAGCAACAATGAGTGACAACCAGGGCAGCTCGCCCAGGCCATGTCCTCCAGGGGCTTTAAGGGGGGTGGGTCGCAGAGACCAGGTTTATGAACCGTGTGGCCCACCTTAGTGTCAGCCGTTTGGCTCCAGGGGGTGAGCTGATACCACGGGGCCCAAAGCCCTCCCGGTAAATGAAGAGCTAGAAGTCCACTCTTGGGCACAGCCCAGGCCCCAAGTAAACAGACACTCCTATCAGGCAGGACATTCCAAGGACTTAAAGACTTCCTCTCCGGACGGGACAGAAGGGCGAAGGCCAGAGCTCCAGCTGCAGGGTAGGGTTAATCCTTTACTGCGCAGACAAGAAACATCCCCAGGACTAAAGAGAAAAACAAGCTTAGGATAGAAAAGTATAGAAGAATGGAACAGGAGGAACTCATCCGTAAACCCATCCTGGTGCAGTCAGTGCTACAGGGTGACAGAAAGTCCCTCCACCGGCACAAGTGATGGAACCGGGCCCCAAACGGCTGAGGAATTTTGCACGGGTAATTCTGGGCCTAGAAACGGTCATCTAGTCTAGTGTGAAAGTAGGCAAAGAACAATAAACACTTATGATTCAGAAAGGCATCTATAATAATCCTATCTAATAACAGACAAACATGGTAATTGACCGTACCTTCACTACACCTCCCATGGGCTAATCAGCGTGATATGCAAATTAACCCCCAACAAAGATGGCGGCTAATTTGCATACTGCAGGCAGGGCGGGACAGCGCGAGCCGCCAGTGTGAGCCACCATCCAGGAGCCATTCAGGCACCTGTGTGCGACCCCAGAAGCTGCCTGACTGCCATCTGTGTGCGCAGATCGGTATCCGCTGTGCCCCGTGCCACCCCGCCCTGCTGTCCATGTGCACGGTGCAGGGGCCGGCAGGGCCTGCAATCTGTGTGCCCTGCCCGGTGGCCCGCTGCCATCTTAGGCCCAATCCCCCAGGGACGGGGCCTAAGCCAGCAGGTGGTTATCTCCTGAGGGGTCCTAGACTGTGAGAGGGCACAAGTGGGGCACCCCACCCTCCAATCCCCCTCCACCCCACACCAGTGCACAAATTTTTGTGCACCAGGCCTCTAGTCTATAATAATAAAAGTGTAATATGCTAATTAGACCAGATGTCATTCCGGACATCCTTCCTGCCATCCGGGTCCCGGGTGCCTGCGAGCAACCTGGGGGAAGCCAGCCCAGGTCCCAGGTGCCGGAGGGAAGCCGGTGCTGGCAGCCAGGGAAAGGAAGGCCTACTCTTGCATGAATTTCGTGCATCAGGCCTCTAGTGTAAATATAATAGCACAGCGGACGGACCACAGGAGATGGAGGGCAGGGGAGAGTAGAGAGTGGGAGGAGCAATTAATGTGCCTACAAGTGCCCGTCAGGAAGTTAAGGCACTAGGCACGTTATTTAGAACCACAAAGGCTACCAATTAATAGTAACAGACAAAATAAAAATCACTTGCAAAACTTGGGAGGGAGAGGAAAGGACACAGAGTGTGCTAAATTCACACAAGTGGAAAGTCAGGTCATAATGTTTTTAAATATTTTATTGATTTTGAGAGAGAGAGGAAGGGAGAGGGAGAGAAACATTGATGTGAGAGTGACACATCCATAGGCTGCCGCCTGCATCCCCCCACCCCCCTCCACCCTGGATTGAGCCTGAAACCTGGTCATGTGCCCTGACAGGGAACCCAACTGGGGCGGTGGGGGGGGGGGGCTCCTGGTGCATGGGGCAACGCTCAACCAACTGAGCCACACCGGCCAGGGCTCAAGTCATAATATTTTTAAAAATCCAATTGAGTAAATCAAGGGTTAGGTATAAGCTTGTGATTTGGCGCCCTAGGGTTAAAGTGGAAGAAAAAATGCAGACAAGATAAAAAGTGGTTCACCTTGGTGGGTGGGACCACAGCGGGAGGGGCGGTGGACTGCCCTGGACTCGCCCCTTCTGTGCAGCCAGCCGCCGGTGCATAGGAATGTGGCCCGGTCAGCCCGGCTGCTGCGATTCCAGGAATCCATCCCTTAATGAGTGCAAACAGGCTTACCGTTTTTCCCAGCAGCCCCTGGATCAGTGGATGGGTATGAATATTCGCGGAGTGAGTCAGGTTTCGGCCGTTTACGTTTGTAAACGATGGCGATGCGGATAGCCCTCCCGCCCATGAGTACGGATTAGGTAAAGGAGTCCTCGCTAAGGCAGCCTCGCCCAGTCCCGAGCTCCTTCCACAGCCCGAACCGCACAGCGAAAGGGCCGTCAGCTCCGCCTGGGGAGGCCGAAAGGAGCTTGTCTGGCCCTTGGAGGGGGGCGGGGGGTGCGGACCAGAGGGAGCGACATTTACCCGGCTCTGGGCTGGGACCCCGCTAAGACCCTCCCCTCCGGGGCAGCACTGCTTTCTCGGCTACTCGCCATAACCTTCGGGACGTTTTCAAAAGATGCCCGCCCGCCCGCCGGCCGCCCCGTCCGAAGAACTAACTCCGCATCCCGCGCGCTGGGCGGCGTGGTGCCCGCGGGTCTTCCTTACGGCGCTCACTCCCCAACCGCAGA